CTTGAAGCAGGAAGGAGCTGGGAAGGATCCAGCAAAGCCTTGGGAATCTGATGCCTCAAAGAGAGGATGGAATGTGGTAAATGTGGGCTTTGTTGTCTTTCCTCGACTACAAGTCATGTCCAAGCCTGTGTTGGTGGAAGAACTTTGGTGTCTTGTGGGAAAACAATTCCTGTGTCCCTTCCCATCCAAATAATGTGAAAATGTGACCCCACCACTGAATTCTGCTGGCAGAGGGATGGAATTGGTGCCTCGTGGGAATTCCTGGTTGTTGCTCTGCATTTCCTGCATCCTCCAGCATTCCTTGTGTGGTGTAGAGATGGAAGAGGTCCAAGGAGGGGATTGTCCCACTCTGCTCTGCCCTGGGGTGGCCTCACCTCGAGCCTTGAGGGCTTTTGGGGCCCCCAAAACCTGCCAGAGCTCCAGGAACATTGGGACAGCACAGGATGGGATGTTGGGGTGTCTGTGCAGGGCAGGAGTTGGACTTGGATGATCCTTGTGGAGGTCCCCTCCCACTCAGGATATTCCATAATTCTAAGAGAGATTAGAATTCTCACCCTGCTCTCCCAAAAAACAACTTTATAGGTTTGGTTGAAGCAAACTATGGGAAGTGAGCTGTGGTGAGCACCTACTGCTGACTACAAATCCAGGATTTGTAGTGGTTTTCCTCCTAAAATATAACGTGGAAATATCTTATTCTGATAATTTATTGACAAAACCGAAATGCAAGTATTCACACACATACCCTGTGTAAATGGAATGTTAATTCAATACTTGTAGCTGCTTGGAGGTAAAAAAAAAAAAAACACTGAAAATTGTGGTGACAAAGGAAGCAGGATCTCAGTATTTCTGTAAGAAACCATTTTGTTGTTTTAATTTCATTTTATTATGCATGAGGAAAAAAAATTGACTTTTTTTTTTATATTATCTCTAAGAGTGCAACAAAAGGCTGCCTTTTAGAAACTCAGGGTTATGAGTCTGACCTGTGTGTAAAATATCTAATTTCTGGTTATGTAAAGAAATCTCAGAGGCATCTGTGACAGATGGGGGGAATATTGACCATAAACTGAGGCAAATCTTTATTTCTGCTGCTCATAAGTTTCCTTTTTTTTTAAAGGAAATTTGTTTTTGTGGTAGATGAAAGATTAAAAGTTAACTTTCCTTTTCAAAATTCTCAAGAACAGTCAATAGTTTTGGCAAAAAAAAAAAAAAACAAAAACGCACATGTAGCTACAAAAACATTCACGTGGACGTTTTGGGAACAAAACTGAAATGAAAATGAGTGGATTTTAATAATTGCTACTCCTCGAGCATGGATCTATAGTGGTCTTTAACAGGAAGTTACCACTGGAATTCCTGTAAAATTACATTTCCACTTGTGATTGCATTTCCACACCTGAGTGGCTGCCTGGGGCAGATTCCCCAAAGATCTGAGGGAGGGAAATGCCAATTTTTTCATCCTTGTGTATGTGATATATATCTGTGGTATTTTGTTTTCTTTTTGTACTTCTGTCACTTTTATAAAAGCTGTGGACTGTGGCGTGGAGCTCTGTGGGTTGTTTGTTTTCTGCCAAATACACAAAGGTTAAAAAAAAAACTACAACTAAAAAAAAAAAAAAAAAAAAAAGGTGCGGTTTGTGTCATATTTCTGCTTTAAGGTACAGAAATCCCAGCTTTTCTCTTGCATAAATCCCACCAAGCAGCTGCTTGAGGTTCATTTTAAAACCCAGCAGGTTTTTGGCTTTTTTTTTGTGACCAAACAGAGCCCTGGGGAGGATTTGGGAATGGGATTGGAACCCTTGGAAAAGCTCATGGGGGGCAGCACAACCCCCCTGTCCTGCTGGGCTTGGTTCCAGTCTTCATCTCGTGTATTTTCATTTGTCCTCTTTTCAGCCTTTGCTCTCCTTAAATTAAACAAACCAACCTCATGGCTGTCCACTCATAAAACCTTTTTATTCTCCAGTCAGACCATATATAAATCTCCTTTTCTCTTGTGTAAACAAGGGGTTTTTTGCTCTTTGTTTGTCACACCCCAGCTCCATCCTGTGCTGTGACAGAAGCAGTGCTGCCCAGAAAATTCATTTTTTTGGGAATATTTTAGAGTTTCACTGCATTTCTGTCGGCCACACTCAGGTACCTGTGATGAGGACGAGCTCTGCAAATTTATTTTACATTTTTCAATACCCTCAGAGCAGATCTTCCTTAAATATGAATTCCTGAGGTGCTGGTTCAAAGTGTTACAGCACTCCCTGTGTTTCTAAATTGTCATTATTTCCTATTATATGACATTATATTGTCATGTATCCAATGGGGGATGGATAATTAGGGATCTTTACCCTGCCCACTCTCCCTCAGTTCCATGTTATTCAATCAAACTCCACACTTTAATTGCAATTAACGGCGGCCCTGTGGTGACAACGCCTCCATTGCCACCCCTGCCGGCTCTTCGCTGGCTTTATTGCTGAACAGGCCCAGCCTGGAGGTTAATTAATACTCCTGGAGCTGGGGCAGGCTCAATTAACGGCTCATTAACGCCTTTCGTTAATTAGCGCGCCGTCAGGCGGCGCTGACGTCATCGGGGCGCGGCGGCGGCCGGAAGTGACGCGTGACTCGCGCGCGGCTCCCCCAGTCCCCGGTGGCGGCGGCGGTGAGCGGGGCCGGGGGGAGCGCGGGGGGCTCTGAGGGGACACCGAGGGCTCTGAGGGGACACCGGGGGCTGAGGGGACACCGAGGAGACTCTCGGGGTTATGGGGGGGCCCCAGCGCTGAGGGCGGCTGGCGGAGCGGCCCCGCTGGAGGCCCCGGGCGGGCCCGCGGGTGGCGGCGCTCCGTGAGGGCCGCGGGGCTCTTTGCTCCGTTCCCCCGGGCCAGGGCTGGGCTTGGCCGCCAAAATCGGCTCCGTTCCGCGGGGTGCGACAAAGCGGGAGCGCCACACGAGAGGGACACGGCGATGGGTTAGCTCAGAGTTGGGTGCTCGGAGTGTTCCGCAATTCAAACTCTGAATTGTCAAATTTTTGCTGTTTGTCATTTCGGTAAACCAAGGAGTTAGTGCTCGTTGGCTATAAGCGTCGTAGTTCTCTTGTTAATTAATATTCTGTTTTCTGTCGGTTAATTATTTTTCCTCTTCTGGTGCTAATTAGTGCCATGCTCAGTCTTTTTTGTTTCTTGGTTGGTGGTCGTGCTGGAATTTCCTTTTCCTCAGTGACAGCTGATTTCAGCACAGTTACTGAATTTGCTTCATTATTTTCTTCCTTATCTCAGGAGTTCTGTCAGATCTCCCATAAATTCTGTGTTCCTCATGTCCTATTTCCCCAAGCTTTCTTAACTCCCCCGAGGTCTCAGGTCATTATTAAATGTGTGGCACCAAACCTTGGCCATAAACTCTATTTTCTGTGCCCTCCAGCAGCTCCCTGAGTTCTTAGCAGAATCTTTCCTTTGGGTTTAAAACAAACATTTCTGGTTCACCATAAATCCACTCCTGCATGGCTTTGCTCAAAAATAGAACATTAAATGTTTGCTTTGAAAAAAAATGGGTGTAAAACAGATTTATTTGTGGGATTTTTCAACCCCTCCTTCTTTTACAGAGGGTGTTTTTTTAAACTCAAATGGGTGATGAAAAGGATTCTTGGAAAGTGAAAACTTTAGATGAGATTCTCCAGGAGAAGAAGCGAAGGAAGGAGCAAGAGGAGAAGGCAGAGATCAAACGTATGAAAAATGTAAGCTGCCCTTTGGGATTCATTTTAATGAAATTTTTTGTTTTATTAATAGAAAACTGCATTTTAATGGCGTGCAGTGACTGTATCCCGATTTTCTCATGCTCTGTCAGCTGAATTCTTTTCTGTGTGGTCCAAAGTTTAACAAAAATTTGATGCTTTGTGAAGATTTCATTGGTCTTGCATTATATGCTGTGCTTTGCTATAGTTATTGGTCAGAAAAGATAAATAAATTAATGCAATCAACTGGGACTTGCAGTTCAAGGAACAACTTTTAAAGATTTTATAGAAGAATGGGTTAAAATAATTGATTTGGAATCACTTTGATGTTGCTGTTTGTTTTTGTATAGCTGTGTACAAAATAATTATTGCAGAAAAAAAAACCCCATGTAATAGTTACTACAATCCTCCTCAGTGTTTAATTTTGTCTAATTCTGTCAAATTAATGCACTTCAGCTCTTAATTGCACTCAAAAATCATAAATCATAATCATTGTCATAAATCAGTGGATTTTACAGGGGTGGCCAATCCAGGCTGATTCTTTGAGCCAGCAATGGAAGACTTCAGTAAATATTTGATTTTTTTTTTTTTTTTCATTTTGAGCCATACAAATAAATGGAATTTTTCCCCTCTCCTCAGTCAGATGACAGGGATTCCAAGAGGGATTCTCTTGAAGAGGGGGAGCTGAGAGACCATCGCATGGAAATCACCATCAGGAACTCACCTTACAGGAGGGAAGACTCCATGGAAGACAGGTAAGAATGAGGAAATAAAAAGAAAAAAAATTAACCTTTCAACGTCCTGAAACAAGGTTTGCAAATATCTGAAGGGAAAAATCTAATTTTTGTAGTGTGCAGAAGTGGAAATCTTTTTTATAGAGCACACCAGGGTAACTTTTTGAAGCACTGGTTAAGATTTAACAGCGTTGTGTTCCAGTTTTGATTTCGGCTTCTTGTGGTAATCCAACACAAAATGGGAATTTTTTTCAAACCAAGGAAATCTTTGGATTTCCTTTCACCTCCCTGAGTTTCTTCCTGTCCTGCCTTTCAGAGGAGAAGAAGATGATTCCTTGGCTATCAAACCACCCCAGCAGATGTCCCGGAAAGAAAAAACCCATCACAGGAAAGATGAGAAGAGGAAAGAGAAGCGCAGGCACCGGAGCCATTCTGCAGAAGGTGCTTCTTGCCACTCGTGGGAGCTTCTGCTTTCTGGGAGTGCTGTAAATAACAATAACTCAGACTAAAGAGAGCACAGCAGGGGGATAAAACAGAGGAATTTAAATTTTTATTGTTTCTTTGGCTGTGTTTAGTGCCCTTAGGGGAATGACAAGGCTGTGAAAGTGGTTGAGAGGACAGAAATCACTTGGGGACAGGGACACTGAGGTCACTTTTACTCCTTGAAGCCTGATAAGATTCTCTGTGACTTCACTGAGTGAAAGGTTTCTGATCTTTGTACCTGCCAAGTTAAAAAAAAAATCCTTCCTAGAGACATTCCCGTTGCCTTCCTGTCAATAACAACCATTTTTTACTTAAATGCAAGTACTCATGCAAGATCTTACAGACTTTGGACTTTCCAGCCCCCTTTCAGAACAGGATTTTCCTTTTAAGTAAACAACAGAGGTCATGGCAATAGGTTCCCATCAGTTTCACCCCTTCTAAGTTTTGCTTTTGGTGAATATTTTGAGCGGTAACACTCGGAAATTGATTTCTGTTTGTTCAAGGGAAACATGCCAGAGTGAAAGAGAAAGAACGGGAGCATGAGCGTAGGAAGAGACATAGAGAAGAGCAGGATAAAGCCCGGCGTGAATGGGAGAGACAGAAACGGAGAGAGATGGCAAGGGAGCATTCCAGGAGGGAGAGGTACATCCATCCCTCCCTCCCCTGGGGAGGGAGAGCAGCAGCTGCCTCCTCTGGGCATTTGTTGTTGTGAAATGACCCCCCCAAAAAAAAAAAAAAAAATCCACAGTGGAAACTTGTCTGTATTCTTGGGGATGTGTTGTCTGATGGAATGTGTTCTTCACTTTAATTATTTTTAAGTGCTTTGTTACCATGGACAGTCCAGGTGAATTCACTGCCAGGGGTTCACTGAAATAAAAACATTGGATGGTCTTAGAGGTTTTTATTTGCACATTATCAGGGGATTAATTAACTGAACTGTCTTAATTTCTGCCTAAATGTTTCTAGGGTGGAGAATTCATGGTGTGGGTATTTTAAACCTGTTTTTTAAAGGATCAGCTGAAAAACTCCACTTGTGTTTGACTGATGCACAACTGGGGGTGTTGATAAGGAAGTTGAGTTTAGTGGTTTGGTGCTGCAAATCAGTTTTCCTTCTTTTCACGAGCTGAATTTGTAACAAATAAAAATTATTTTTCCAGAGATCGTCTGGAGCAACTCGAGAGAGAAAGGGAAAGAAAAATCCGAGAGCAGCAGAAGGAACAACGGGAGCAAAAGGAGAGAGAAAGGAGAGCTGAGGAGAGGAGGAAGGAGAGGGAAGCCAGGAGAGAAGGTGACTCCCTCTGCATAAATATTCTTCATTTTTACTGTCACTTTCCTATCTACTGACACGGTGGTGGAATGGAGGGATGAAAAGTGTTTGTCACTTAAAGCAGCGCTAGAATTAAAAAACCAAAGTGGGGAGGCCTTTGACATGGGAGGGAAAAGAAAATATAAGTTTTGCAGGGGGAGATAAAACAGTGTGATGGTGTTATTGCCTTAAATATCCTGGCAGGTTGATCACTCAGTGGGTCTAAAACAAGATTTCTGGGGGTGCCCCTGTGTGCACCCAGCACAATCCCTGTGATTCTGAACTCTTTGGCTGTGTTTAACTCAGTTTGGTAGAGGTTGAATCTTCAAAATTCAATGTTTTAAGGATTTGGGGGAATAAATTGCAAAGAGGGGGAGAGGTCATGTAAGTACTCCAGGCATGGGAAATGCTGTAGTGGGAGTCAGGTGGGAAGATCTGGTGCCTGAACAGTTTAAATTCTGCACTTGAACTCTTTGCACAGTGTGTTGGGTATTTGCAATCTCAGCTCAGATCATTTTTGCTTCAAGGATCTCTGTCCCAGCTTTCAGAGGTAAAAATCAGAGCCCATTGCTGTGATCAGGTGAAAAAGATCATTCAAGACTAGCAGAACAAACCATGTTTTTTGCTTTCTCTTTCTTGCTCAGCTCATACCAAACAGCTCCTTTTTGTGCTTGGCTTTATGCTGATAGTGCTCAAACCTTTCATTTAATTGGTTTTATTGTTCTGAATGTTCTGTCAGCTCCTTCTAAACCTCAGCTGGTTTTATTCTTTTATATATTTTCCACTTCTTTCTCTGGCATTAATGCTTTTAGAGCAGGGTGTTTACTGTGTAACATACAGGGCAGCTTGCTTCTGTTTTTAAGCGTGGCAGCAGCTTTCTCTAAGCAGTACAAATCCATATTTTATTTGAGATAAGTCAAAGCCCTTCATTCTCCCAGATTTAAGTAGGTTCCTCTCCCAATCTTCCCCTTCACACTGTTAAAAAAAAAACCAACTGAAAATCATTCAAACCAGGTGGCTGTGGCAGACAGGACAACTCTAATTAGGCAGATGTAACAATTTCTTGTGGTTTTGTTTTCCCTAGTTTCTGCACACCATAGAACAGTGAGGGAAGAATATGGAGACAAAGTAAAAATGAGACCCTGGAGTCGCAGCCCTTTGCGCCAGCAGAGAGACAAGCTTGAGCAAGGAGAGAGCAGGAAACCAGGTAGCATCTGCCACTCTACACTGTCTTGGGGGACAGCAGGAGCTGGGCTTGGGGTAGTGTTCAATTTTTAGTGTCAAACAAACATCCCAGGTGCTCAGTTCAAGTGTTGTCCAGCTCAGCCCCAGCGGCGTAAGTCTGGAATCGTCACAAATATCTCTTCTCTAAAGCAGTGCTGGTATTGCAGGAATTGCACAAGTGACAAATGGAATGGATTTTAGGGGTAGGAGTAGCAATTGGAAA